TACTAATTTCTATTTAATTGAAATTAATGATTTCTTATTGGGTTAGATGTAAGATTGCATTGATTTCTCTCTTTCAGAGCAAGGTCTGTTTATGAGAGAGCCTTAGATGTAGACCACAGAAATATCACCATATGGCTGAAATATGCTGAGATGGAAATGAAGTGAGTCTGTTTCCTTGTGAGATAAGTTTAACTGTATTTTGTTGAAAATACTTGTAGATTAAAACTTTTATCCAGACCCTAATAATGATTTTTTTTTCTGACAATAGAAGACCTACACACTGCCACAGTGAAAATTGGGATTGGGAAATTGGGAATCAGAATAATTCTGTAGAAAGTGACTGAGAAAGTGTTCTTATTCTAATTAAAAGCAGTTTACAAAGAAAAGGAGCATGACAGGTTGCCTAGTAAGATATTGACTCTGGGTTGTGAGAAGGTGAGATCGATAGACTGAAGTGGCTGCCAGAGGCGCCTGATATGCTGACGTCTGTTCTCAACCTTACAGTGCACCCGTAATTCAGCCTCTGGGCTGCAAGTGGTCAGACATAAACTATATTACTATATTACTTACTACTCTGGATTTGAACCTTGATCAGGTCACTGTTCAGTGTTCTTGGGCAAAAAACTTTACTTTTATTATGCCTCTCTCCACCCAGGAAGGTAAATGGTAACTGGCAGACTGTTAGGGAAACATGACAAGATATCAAAGGAGGGGAGGGTGGGCAACTTGTGATGAATTATCAACAGTTCTGGAAGAGCAGCAATGGTACAGGTTACTTTGTGTGAAATAAACCAGAGAGATACACATATACTCCAGCAGCTCTGTCAGCTAGTCTGGTAGATGTAACCCATCCTACCTCTGATATTGAGCTTAGAGTTTTACCTCCACAGGCATCGCCAGATTAACCATGCACGGAATATCTGGGACAGAGCTGTCACCATCTTGCCAAGAGTGAACCAGTTTTGGTTAGTACATAATGCTTCTTGGTGATTTATTTATAGTAAGCCTAGGGTATTCTTGTTAAGTGTAAGTTGGTTAGCATTTTGTGAAAACAACAATACATTCATAAGTGCCTGTAGCAAAGAGAAACTGCAGAAAATTGATCTGTATTTATCAATTTTATGTTTTCAAGCAAGAATATTACAGTTAATTACAAGTTGTGGCTTTGACTGGATCCACTCTCAGGATTTGATCTGATCTTAATTCTCCTTTCAAGCTGCAGTGTACTTCTTTGAAATTTATCAATCAATCAATCAATCAGTCAATCAAAGTTTATTGTCTAACGTGAGGCATGGTTGCCCAATTGCCCGAGCCAGAGGCTCATGTATAAAATGGTAGACTATAAATTAACTATAATTAAAGGTATATTATTAGAAGTACTTAAAACAATTAAGTGGTCTATCATGATATTACTTTCTATCTGTTAACTTTCTCTCTTCTCATAAGCTGTTTGCAGGATAGTGGGTCAAACTTTTGAGGAGAGATTACAGTGCATAGTGGTATATAAGATCTGGCAGTAAAGAGCTGTATCATTTTGTTTTTCAAACAGGTACAAATACACCTACATGGAAGAGATGCTCACTAACATTGCTGGTGCACGGCAGATTTTTGAACGATGGATGGAATGGGAGCCAGATGAGCAAGCCTGGCATTCTTATATTAACATGGAGCTCAGATACAAGGAAGTGGATCGTGCCAGGAGTATATATGAGAGATTTGTTATGGTACATCCAGAAGTGAAAAATTGGGTGAAGTTTGCTAAATTTGAGGAACGTCAGTCCAATTCAGGTGAATGGATTCATATCTTAGTGACATGGTTTACAATTTTACTTTTTTGATATGAAGTTTTTCTATTGACAGTAAATGATTTTTAGACCTCTAGGCTTCAATTGCTATTTGGAACAAGTGACTGACAATTTCTAGCGATGACTGTTTCATCCACAGATGTAAAATTTATTTTGTGATGATAAAAGATATATTTTTTCAGTTGGTGCAAGAGATGTGTATGAAAGAGCAGTAGAGTTTTTTGGTGAGGAAAATGCAGAGGAGAAACTTTTTCTTGCATTTGCAAAATTTGAAGAAAACTGCAAAGAGGTATGGATATAAACTTCTCACCAGTGGTTTGATTTTGTCAAAATTTTTTGACAAGGGTATAAACTAACTATAATAATTAAACATTTCTTTTTTGAGTTTTGAGTGAACAAAATAGTAGTTGCAAATAATAGTGTGACACTTCTTTGGGACTGATCAATTTGAAGTATAAGGTTGTACATGTAGGAAGCTAAGTGACTATACAAAACCTGAATATCTCAATTTTTTTTTCTATTCCTTAGCATGATCGAGTGAGGGTGATTTTCCAGTATGCTCTGAAAATCTTACCAAAAGAGGAGTGTGAAGTAAGTGTGGATTACATACAGGCTTTCTTCTAATCGAAGTTGATTCATTTTCTACACATTTGGAAGACCTGAATTCAGAAAATATTTACATGCTCCTGACTTTTAAAATCATTTTTGATCTTCTCATTCCTCTCTCATCTCTATTCCTTCTTCTTTTTCCCTAAAGCCTCATTGATATCCCTTAGATTAGGTGTTCTTTCATTCAAAATTTACTTGTCACTATTTTTTTTTCAGGAGTTGTACAAAGCTTACACTCAACATGAGAAGAAATATGGAGACAAAGGGGGGATAGAAGATGTGATCGTTAGCAAGAGAAAATTCCAGTATGAGGAGGTTAGTTTATTGATAGATAAAAACAAATGTACTTTTTTTTAAAGTCACAGTTAAACAAAGTAGATGTTGTGATATTAGGTTGTATTATATAGCTGGTGGTGCCCTTGGGCAGGTGAAAATAAATCCTGCATTTTGATTGGCTATCCAAGTGGATAAGGTGGGCCTGTCTTACCCATTGCAGATTGCCTGCTTTGATCTTGTACGAGGAAAAATATTGTATGGAGAGGATTTCAAAAGGGATAAAGCTCACAGCTTATTCCACCAAGACTTTTGAAATTTACTTCTCAGGTCACATTATTTGTCAAATACGAGTCTAAAACAGGCATGTGCCATCGCAGTTGACTCTCAAAAAATAAACAAGGTACAACCTCCTCCTTCTCTTTACAAATGCTAGGAGTAGTTTTACCCTTTGTGGTCATCATAAGTAAAAAGGCAAAAAAGATGATCAGAAATGAACAGAATTAAGAAATGCAAGAATTTAAATTTTTACCTATTTTCAAAAAAAAAAAATTGAATTTACATGTAGAAGGTAATTTTTGGTTGGTAAATAGCTTGTCAAAATAAGGGATTTTTAATTAATAATTTTAGTTGGTAACTCTCAAAGGCCAAAAATTAATTATGGTTACCCTTGCCTGCATTTTTTATGGAGTGACCAAAACCTTGACAGCCAAACTTGAAACTGCTTTTAAAAGTGATTGAGTTTAGTTTCTGAATTAAATGATTCGTGGAATATTGTTCAACACATTTACTTCAGTATGCTGATTTCCTAACTGTCTTGCTTGCTGATAAGGGTTGTGTCCTCTTAGAATATCTGCTCTTCTTATTCAATCATATCAAGTAGACAGGTAGATTACATGACAAAAAGTTAAACCCATCTTAGACTCTTTCAAGTTTACTTATCTAAAACAATGGCTTTATTTTGAATCCCAATTGGGTGATTCGTTAAATAACAACGCATTTACCTTAGTGTGTATATTTTTTTAGCTTGCGCGCAAACGACAAGTATACGCCCATCTGGCGCTGTTACGATTCGATTTGGACTTTGTAAAGGAACGACAGTTTTGCCTGTAAAGCGACCGTCCAAAGAAAATTGCTGAACTCTGTTATTGTTACGGTCACAAACAAGTAGATTATTGGAGCTGTTTGAACACATGCCACGGAGACCGTTGAACTGTCCATCTTGATTCCCTTTTTCTCCAAACTTGTACAAGAACGTTCCTGCCGAGTCAAATGCTTTTATGCTGTGTTTTTCACTTTCATTTACCGCGAAAATGTTTTGTAAGGAATGCAACTGACTGGTTTACCGAGTCTCTCTGGACCACTTTCCCCTATTGTGGATATAGTTTCGCCCTCTTTCGACAGTCCTTGAACTCTGTTGTTGTGGAATTCAGTGACAACAATACCTTCAATATCATCAACGCAAACACTAAGTGGACTCCCAAAGTGTCCTTTCCCCTCACCTTTTTGTCCAAAGGTTTTGAAAACAGAACCTGTCTGAGTATTTGTTGTTGTATTCTATAATTTAATTGATCCGCACAAAGAATTTCGTTGTCGTTTAAAAAAAACACGTTGGTGGGATATTTGAATTGTCCAGGATCTGTTCCTTCTTTCCCAATTTGTCTTAAACAGTGTCCTTTATTGACCACATGATCACGGTGTCCTTGATTATCTGCGACAACAATGTCACCTTGCTTGTTGACAGCTATACCACATAGTCTCTTGAACTCCTGCCCTTGGTTGAACTTCAAATCCAACTCGCCAACTACCACAAGTTCTCGTTCTTTCACTGGTAAAGTGAACGGACAGTTCGGAAGCCTTTCATCTTTAATCTTTACTTCAACACTGTAGGCACCAGGCTCTTTAGGTGAAAACTTCAACCTTAGATTGCCGTCCTCTTTTTCTTAAACGGTTACGTTTGTTACATCTTTGGCGGGTTCTATCAGCGACTCAACTTGATCTTTAAGATCAGCCTAGTTAATCATCTCTCCGTCGGCTGCCGTTTTTTGGGCATAACGAAAACTCTGCTTCTACACCAGCTTGAAAAGTTTGATCCATTCCTTCCAGAGTTCATTAATTCACGACTTTCGGGATGACCTGAATAACACCCAGTGTCAGGTCCTGTCGAGAAGGGGGGAAAAAATTTAACGACTGCAGTCTGGTAATGTGTTGGGGCTTCAACTCTACAAAGCTCTTCAAATTTTTGTTTCAAAGTCGCCCTGTATTGCATGATATCCGAGCTTGCGCTTCTCTGAACCAGGTTTGCCGCAAACTCAGCTGCTTGGTTTATTTGTTTTACCAGGGATTCCACTTCCTGTTTGGCCGCATTTATCCTCTGAAGTCTCGACACGCGTGTTGTTGCCAGGGATTCGATCGCTTCTCGCTCGCGCTGACGAATATTTGCTCGGCTGTTATTTGCTCGGCTGTTATTTGCTCGGCTGTTATTTGCTCGGCTTGAAGTTTCTTTCAAGCTCAGAAATTGTTTCTTCGAATTCCTTGATAACTTTACAAAGTTCGGCTTCTTTTTCCATTATCATCTTAGTGCCAGAAGTTATGTTTTCTTTTTCTTCGTGACCTGCTTTGTCGAGCGAAATGGCGTTGTGGTTTTGATGATCCGTGACTATGCAGATCGGACAAAGTTGACACTGTGAGCGAAAGAATCTGGCTTTTTCTCTTTCGTGAAACTGTTGTGTGCAAAATGGCCGTCGCTTCAGCAGTGCTTCGTAATCTTCTGCTTTAAAGTCCTTGACTGACGTGACTTTGTGTCCTTGAAAAGACTTTTTAAGCACTTCATGTGCGTTGAAACAATCAGGGCACATGAATCGTCCTCAATCGAAGCTATAGTACATTTGAGGGTTGGTTGCGCTGCATTGATAACTAGTAATATTACCATCTTCGCCGCTCTGTCGAAAGGCGAGAAAACTCAGCAAACTTTTGTAGAAAAAACTGTTGGGCAAACGGTATCGAGACAGATGGAGCAAGTAACTTGCCTCTTGAGATCTTTCAAAATGGACTCCATCTTCGAAGCGAAACACACTAGACTTTCGCGAGACACTCAACGCAATGACTTGATTGTAGATGATAGTTCAGGTTTCCGAGAAAACAGCAAAGTCCATATCAACCGATTGCCACATGCCAATCAAAATTCATGGCTTCGACGACCTTTTTATACTCGAAAATAATTTCTAATCTCTTAGGATTTTGGTTTTTACTCTGCCCTAATCTTCCTCTTCCTTAATTATTCTTTTATTCTTTGCTTTTATCACTTTAGTTAATGTTTTCCTATCGTAATGAGTCTTTCTTCGTTAGAATCTTTCAAGATGAAGGTAATTGGTCACGTCATAGGAAGGACTCCAAATCTCGTGACTCACAAGCTCCTTCTACAGTTGTGTACTTAGTTGCCAAGCCTTTGATTCAGAGTGAGGCTAAAGGTTACCTTGTTGTGATAGAGACCAGTATCTAGTTAGCATGATAACAAAGTGATTTACATTTGAAAAGCAGCAAGGTTTGTATCATAACAAGGTCACCTCTAGCCTCACTCCCGTTTAAAGGCTTAAGAACCAAGCACCCAAATGTAAAATGGACTATTCGTTTACGACAGTCGTCTTTATAGAAACTCTTATCGTCCTTCCGTAACTGTCTGTGTAGTAAAATGAAAATCTCAACATTTTTTAACATGGATGATTATTTTAATATTTCTTCGGTGGCTGATTAAAAAAGATAAAAAGAAAAGAAAAGCTGAAGCGGTGTGTGGTGTTTGTTGCAAATTCCATTCGTACAGAAACAAGGTCACACATAGCTTATCTTCAGGAATTCAGCCGAAATTATTCAAGTTCCTTTGTAGCAATTCGTTTTGACCTCGTCCTTTTAAAGTTCTCTTTAGGAAGTCACTTGTTCAAGTTATCTATTGGCGTAGGAAACTAAACTGTCCTTGGCTGTCTTATCTTCTTTCGGTAGCATTAGTTAGGCGAGGAAACGCGAGGCGAGCGCGCGTGAGCGACCACGGTGTGGGAGAAGAAGAAAACAAATCACTACCCACACCCCTTGCGTACGCATCGTTAAATTTTTCGGCAAGGCTCCCTTATCCCTCGCGCTCTGGGCGGAAATTTAATATCAGGTAGATCTGAGAAGGGTCTAGGAGGAAAAAAATTCGTGTGGATCTGATTTTCCCTCCTAAATTTCCTTTTTCAAAAACCGACATTTAGTTATTTGAGCTGGGTGATATGACAAGGCAAAATGTGTTATCATTTTTCCTCCATACCACCAAAGAAGACTTTTAAAGGGAAAACCTGTTGAGGAAAACGTGCAAGTGAAACTACGGCTTCATTTTACGTTCTGTCCAACCGAGCATGTTAATACATTTAAATTTTTTTTTCGTTTTATTTGCCAGGAAGTGAAAACAGATCCGAATAATTACGACGCATGGTTTGATTACCTTCGTCTGATGGAAAGCGAGGCGGATCCCGATGCAGTGAGGGAAGTCTACGAAAGAGCAATCGCCAATATTCCACCCGCCGAGGAGAAGCGTCTATGGAGACGATACATTTACCTGTGGATCAATTATGCGCTATATGAAGAACTTCTGGCTAAGGTGTGTTTTATTTTGGCAGGTGTCGGCTTGTGCAGATGTAGTTAAAACCTGCGCAAGAGACTGACTCGCAGAATTTCTTATCAAGCTAGACCCCAGTTCTGCTACAAATGTAGGTAAAGTCTTCATAAAGAGATTGATTTGCACAACTTGTTGAGCTTAACCCGGTTCTGCTACATAAAGGAGTAGGGAGTTTTGTCGCTATCCAAATATGGGATACTAGTCTATCGCAGCATACCCGCCATAGGAGTTTTCTTTACCCACCCCTCTCCCCTGTCTTGAGCATTTCGTTAGGTTTGCATGGCAGTTCGGTCGTACCAATTTAGACAGGTATTCGTGGGCGGAGAGAGGCAGTGTGAAAGGGGAGTTTCCTGCCCAATGAAGGGTCGAACACGGACGTCTAGTTCAAGAGTTCAGCATGGGAACTTGTTGAAGTTTTTAGGCTAGCGCCTCTTCAAAGTGCAGGGGTAAAATATATTCCAGTTGGAAAATTCAAGTGCCCTTGTATTTGTCTCAATGTCTGATTCTGATTTTTACAGGACATGGACAGGACAAGACAGGTGTATCGTGCATGTTTGGATCTTATACCACACAAGAAGGTGAACAACTTTTAAGAACTACCTTATGTGCGACGCGTGGTGCTTGTAATATGCTGTACTATGCTACTGCTTGAAAATTACGATGTCGCTTACTCTGTCACTTACTTGGTCTAAAACCTAATTCTCCCAACTGCTAACCAATCGTTTGTTTGTTCGCTATTCATGAGAATTAAGTGTTATAACAGGACAATGTTTCCAAGTCCATAATCCCTGTTTTTCTTCATATACCTGGCAAAGATAAACTTATAAAGGGAGTTTTTTTTAACGAGACTGCTTTTTAATCTTTCGAATAGATTGTTGTCTTTCATTTGTACTAAGGAGCAGCAATGAAAAGGATACGCGTCAGTTTCGTTTAAACACGACTGAACTAACAATTTCGGTTTTATTTTTCATATCCAGTTCACATTCGGAAAAGTCTGGCTGTTGTATGCCCAGTTTGAAATTCGTCAGAAAGATCTTAAGGCAGCTCGGCAGGCGTTGGTAAGCGTACTGAGTGATCTCATCATTTGGATGATATTTTTAAGCTCAAAAGTGGATGAATAGGGAACCGTTTCCTGATCAGATGGTGTGGGTTCTTGAACCATCCCGGGTCATTGTGTCGTGTCCTTTTGTGTTGTGTTCTGTAGGCATTTAAAGGCTTTTGATTGGAGGGAGGCACTCAACCTCGTTCCCAGGGTCTCTCGTCTTACCGCCCCTCTCTCACTCCGTATTCCAGCGTCCCTTGGTACCAGTTCACTCTGTGTCGCACACGGTCTGCTTATGTGTTATTTCTGTTCGTCACAGGACACAGCGATCGTGAAATGTCCCAAAGACAAACTCTTCCGAGAATACATCGGTCTCGAGTTACAGGTGAGTAAAACGATTATTAAATAAGAAATTTTTGCTTTACTCTAATGCCGATAGAGTTATTTAAACTGAAAAAAAAATTATCGAAGTTACCTTTGAGATGGAGAGAAAAAAATGAAATCAAATAGAAACATGATTGTATTAAAGTTTAAACCTTTAACTTCCTTGAGTGACCAAGACAGAATTTCTCCTTACAATATCAATACAATATTAAGCGGACAAGTCATTAGAATAGAGAGAAATATCAATTAGGGGATCATAAGTCAGTTGATCTAATACCAAATTCTCTAAATTAACATCATAAGAGCTGTATTTAACAGAAACTAAGGAGAATTGCTCGTAAGATCTTGGGAGAGAAAAGGTTCAGGAAACATCGAAGTTTTATGCTTGAGACTTTTCCTGTCCTCCCCTCCTTCGTCATTTTAATTTGTTTTTTTTTTTACAGACGTATCTTCAAAAAAAAAAAGGTACATATATTGGGTATTTTTGTGGTGGTCAAGAGCTGCGGCTCCGCAAGGGTGTTTCTTGTTGCCCTTTGTGATGCGTAATCTGCCATTTTTATCTGTTTTGCTTTTAACAGCTTCGAGAGTTTGATCGCTGTCGTAAGTTGTACGAGAAATTCCTGGAGTTTAATCCTGCAAACTGTACCACATGGGTCAAGGTTAGGAGAGAACGTTTTATGTTCATGTTGCTGTAGTTGTTGTTGAAGTAATTGTTGTTTATTGCATTTCAAGTGTGCAATTAACTATAGATGGAGTTTGACTTGAATAAAACTTGCGGACGGACAACTATCGACTCGGGAAAAGAAGAAACTAAAGAACTTTTGAGTGAACAAACGTAAGGACAATCGATCGAAAAAATGCCAGGCCGCGCGCCCATACGAATGAACAAATAAGCATGTAAAATAGGGGCATGAATGAACAAATGATCAAGTGAGAGAACGAAAATAAACCGACGACGTCTGTATTTATTGTAGCAGTCCAGGGAGACTATGTGTAAGATATCTATATAAAAAAGGAAAAGTGCAGTAGATGAGTTGGGACAAGGCTTAAACTTGCTAATGGAGCACTTTTCCATTGATGCTGTAAGAGATTTCACCGGCGACGATAGATGACTCGTAACCAGCAAAATTTTTTCTTGTTAGTACGCCGAACTTGAAACCATTCTTGGTGATACTGAAAGAGCACGTGCGCTGTTTGAACTAGCTGTCAACCAACCATTGCTTGATATGCCCGAGGTAATGTATTTCAATAAAGGGTGTAGTTAACTTCAACAAAGATTGCCCGGTCACGTATTCTAGAGTGATCGAACTCGGACACAGTGTCCACTCTGGAGATAAGAAAATTAACTCGCCAATCGGCATTTCACATGTAACGGTCTTCAATATAAACTATGAAAGGCCATTACTATCGAGCAATTTTTAAGGTGGGCTAAGAACAGGTTATGAAAAATCTCGGCAAGATTTCCGAACAGCTCCATACTTTACTATGCAAACAGTTTATGGATAAAGAAAACAAAAGATTCCCTTTGTGACTACGGCTTCTCGAGGTTTCAGTGACTTAGCAAGCTTGCAGTGTGTGTGTTTTTGACTCTTTCAAAGACAATTCACGATGTGAACTTTTCAAGAAACGCACAAGATCTAGAAAGTCACAGCTTGCATTTTGGTTCGAACGTTATAGCAATTGTTTTAAAAGAAATGAAATTTGCATTATAAACTTCTCGCTTCACTGAACTAAATATTCAAAGGATTATATACCGGAAGTTGTTTGTTCATGAGAATTTCGTAGCTCAACATTTGTCGCATATATTCTTTTCGACTGTTAATATTTGTATTTTCACAATTTGTTTCAAACACGGGTAAATTGTATAAGTACCTCTACTTGAGGAACAAGTTATAAGGAAATTTGTCGGGCAGAACGGAAGTGACGTTAATAGTGTATTTTAAATACTAATATTGTTCGAAAGTGGTACCGTGAGGCGGGTTGGCAGCCGTGATCGTATAGTGGTTAGTACATTGCGTTGTGGCCGCAATAACCCAGGTTCGAATCCTGGTCACGGCACTCATGAATTTTTTTTCCTTTTCTCTTTTTCTTTTCTTTTTAACTGAACAGTCTTTTTTACTCTGTTGTATTCTCCCACTTAACCTCATTAGTTTTGTAAGCAAAAGAAAATTGTTTCTTCTTTACTTAGGTTTCCCAAAATTTCCCCTACTTTCAATAGTTTAGAATTGTAATANTTTCACGGGTTTATTACGAATCAACTTAACGGCCTGCTCCCAGTTGGCTTGTTAGCTCAATTGGTAGAGCGCTGCACTAGTATCGCAGAGGTCAGTGGTTCGAGTCCCGTACAGGCCTGATTTTTTTCAGGTCTGATTTTCGCTATTGCTTAAATAGCGCTATCTACTGCGAGGATCGTGCATCATACGTATCTAATACCGCAGTTCAAAATATATGAACTTCATATATTTCATTGTATCTGATTTATCACTTTCACGGGTTTATTACGAATCAACTTAACGGCCTGCTCCCAGTTGGCTTGTTAGCTCAATTGGTAGAGCGCTGCACTAGTATCGCAGAGGTCAGTGGTTCGAGTCCCGTACAGGCCTGATTTTTTTCAGGTCTGATTTTCGCTATTGCTTAAATAGCGCTATCTACTGCGAGGATCGTGCATCATACGTATCTAATACCGCAGTTCAAAATATATGAACTTCATATATTTCATTGTATCTGATTTATCACTTTCACGGGTTTATTACGAATCAACTTAACGGCCTGCTCCCAGTTGGCTTGTTAGCTCAATTGGTAGAGCGCTGCACTAGTATCGCAGAGGTCAGTGGTTCGAATCCCGTACAGGCCTGATTTTTTTCAGGTCTGATTTTCGCTATTGCTTAAATAGCGCTATCTACTGCGAGGATCGTGCATCATACGTATCTAATACCGCAGTTCAAAATATATGAACTTCATATATTTCATTGTATCTGATTTATCACTTTCACGGGTTTATTACGAATCAACTTAACGGCCTGCTCCCAGTTGGCTTGTTAGCTCAATTGGTAGAGCGCTGCACTAGTATCGCAGAGGTCAGTGGTTCGAATCCCGTACAGGCCTGATTTTTTTCAGGTCTGAATTTCGCTATTGCATAAATAGCGCTCTCTACTGCGAGGATCGTGCATCATACGTATCTCTAACCGTAGTTCAAAATATATGAACTTCATATATTCATCGTATAAAAATATTTAGCAAACCAGTAATAAACGATGATTTTTTGTGTTCTCAGGTTTTGTGGAAAGCGTACATAGATTTTGAGATTAACTTCGAAGAGTACGACAAAACGCGAGATCTGTACGAGAGGTTACTCAAACGAACGCAACACGTTAAGGTTGGTCTTTAGTATTCAGTTTTTCACCTTAATTCGATCTCTGTTATTTTGTTGAATGTGAAGCACAAGAGCACATATTTCCATTACGTCCTTTAATTCAAGTATGATTATACTAAGTGCCTTGTAAAAATGTACATGGTCGATAATTTTATCATGATTTTACCTAACCTCGAACATGTCGAAGCAAATTTGGAAGCATATCCCTGCATTCGCTTCGCTTGAGTAATTAATTAATAAGGCTTTAGTTTACATCTCTGATTCTCCTCAAACGTTCTTCATTATAGGTTTGGATCAGCTTTGCACAGTTCGAGGCCTCTACTGGAACTGATGAAAGCATCATACAAGCAAGGTCTGTGTAAACGTTATCTGTTCTGTTATTCGCGATCGAAACGGTGACCATGGTACGTACTGTCACGCAACGGCCGGTGAACAATCGCGTTCGGCGGAAGAGGGGACAACTCAACGAAAGAACCTATTTTTCTTGTATGAGAGAATTTTTAGTGGATATGAGATCCAATCCTAATAAATGTAAATCAAATTTTTTAAATTTTATTTTAACACAAATATTATTTTCAGGACTGTTTACGAACGCGCGAGCAAATCTCTCAGAAACGCAGAGGAGAAAGAAGAAAGAGTGATGGTACTGGAAGCCTGGAAAGAATTTGAGGTATTGTTAAAATCGAAAGCGTAATTTGTTGTGTGAAAATGCGAATTTCTTAGCAAGAACGAATTCAATTTCATTTTTCTAATTGTGATCCTCTAGGACGAATGTGGAGATGACAGCTCACAAGAGGAAATCAAGAAAAAGATGCCTCGCCGGGTAAAGAAGAGGAGAAAAGTGCAAACAGACGATGGGGTAAGAGATATTAAGAATTGTGTCGTAACGCAATCCGTTGCTCAAGCCAAAATGTCGCGTGACAAGTAGATTGTTTTCAATTTTCTTACGATTTTCTTCCAGATTTTGCTGTTATCACAAATAATTCGTAGCTCGTATTTAGAATACTTTAGCCTTACTGCAGTTTTCTTTTTTTCTCTGTTTTAACTTATATATTTTTTTAGAGAAAACAATTCAAAGAAATTTCAAAATGTGTTGTTTAGTCCTTCTTGCAAAATTTTAGGTTTCATTGGAAGTTATTTGTAACACAATCGAAAATATTTTTTCCTTGCAGTCAGATGCTGGTTGGGAAGAATATTACGATTACATCTTTCCTGACGATGAAGCCAACATGCCTAACTTTAAACTGCTCCAGATGGCCAGACTTTGGAAAAAGAACCAATCACAACAGGAATAATTAATAACGTCTGTTGTTCTGGCTGCTGGTTGTTTAGTTGTCGTATAAATATCACAAATATCGTGTACAGAATGTTTTCTACACAACAAAATAAATCTTCAATCTGTTAACTGTGGAGTGTTGAGTTCAGTCTTAAAGGAGTGATTTGTAGTTTGACATGGGAGGGGTGAGGTTGGACTATCAGAGTGGGAGGTCTGGGTGGCATGACTGTACCTCAAATATCATGAGTTTGTGACGTCACAGGTAGCAAGGGATTTAGGACTGGGCATAGGTAACGAAATCTATAGATGGTAAACACGGAAGACTTGTGACTTTATATATTACTTTATTATTTATAAACTCATTAATTTCAGTTGAAGATATTTTCCTTTCATGAAAAACTGTTGATTCAAGTCTAAGAAAAAACATTTGACAATGTAATCACTACTGGTAACTTGATTTTTCCTCAATAAAGTTATATTCCTTTTTCTGGCAATTTGACATTGCAGCAAATCTCGCTAACTTAGAAGCCCAGTTCTTAAAAACCACTCCTCAATTGCCAACATTGAGCTCTGGTTTCACAGAAACCTAAACTTTTCCAAGACAAATTAACAAGATGTATATTATGTTTGTTTTTCTTTTGTCACCCATCACTAAGTGCTCAAATATGAAATAAGCATACTCATTAATAATGTATAATACATTTAAATCTATATACTAGCACATACCATCCCTACAAAATTATGCTCATGTTTTGAACTACCTTATGTTGAGTGAAAAAATAATCTTACCTAGTTCTACTTTTTTAATAATAAATAGATACTATTTTCTATAAATATTTAAAGGTGATCTAGTGCCAAATTCTAAATCAGAATAATGAAAATCCCCTGTCACTTCGCCTAAAAACATAATCTGCTACTTGTGCACATTAAGTTATTATCACCATAAAGTAACTGATACAGTTACCACTCACTGCATTTCTGGTTGGATCTTAATGCACAATCTAATCACAAGCGGCCCAAACTCTCTTTGAGAACCACACAAGGAACACAATCTGCATATTTATAAAGATTTGTATGGGATTTTCTACAAGATATCCACAGAGATAGTTAAAAGTGAAAATATTAAATAAAAATGGTTTACCTTGTTCCATACGTGTGTTGTTTGCTCATGGTGTCGTTATTTTACCGATTTCACTTGATTTAAGCGTTTTTTTTTTTTTAATCCTGGTTTTCTACCACATCATGAAGAGAAGACTTTATGTGGTAGAGAACCAGGATTTAAAAAAAAACGCTTAAATCAAGTGAAATCAGTAAAATAACGACACCAGGAGCAAACAACACAGGTATGGAACAAGGTAAGCCATTTTTATTTAAAGTTTTCACTTTTAACTATCTCTTTGGATATCTTGTAGAAAATCCCATACAAATCCTTATAAATAGGCAAATTGTGTTCCTTGTGTGGTTCTCAAAGAGAGCTTGGGCCGCCTGTGATCTAACTTATGGTTTTATACACTGCACTTTAGTAATGTTGGCAACAAAAAAACATGAATTATGAACATTGTAACCTGATTGCTTTTTTTAAGAGGCAGTGTTTGAATATTAAAACAAACATATTTATTTTTCCAATTCTTTATGGCAAATCTCTTTCATAATATTTAATTCCTGTTTGGAAAACTGAGCTAGCTTTCACCTTTACCGTGTGCAATTAATTGAGGTTATCGTGTATACCCATGATGCTGTTGGGTCTCATCCTTCATTAAAAGCATTTTAAGACCCAACGGCTTAGGAGAAATGTTCGCACGGTTACGTACTCAGTGCTTTATTTTTTTTTTCCATTTTTCATGGCAAACCTTTTTCCATAAGTATTTTTCTCTTCCAGGATAGCATGGATGGCTTCTATCATTTACCACATGCAACTTGTTTTGATTATCATGTACAAAAACCAGTGTACCTCAAGGTCTCCTCGCTCATTACCAACGCTTTTCAGGTGTCAGCGTTTTTTGTAGGCTCGATTTCCACCGCTCTCTCGAGTCCGGTCTTTTTCGTTCCTGCCTGAGTAGGGAGAGGAGCGCGAGACCAGCGGCTGGTAATCGAGCCAACGTTTTTTTGCAATCGAGCGTATTTGAGTTTTTGTCACGCAAAACATAAATTTGATCATTACTGCATATGCCATGAGAAACTTCAAGGCATGCCGATAGCTGTTGATTTCCGATTTGCCAATAGCGTGCGGTTGAAATACCGTTAAAAGACGTTGCCTTTTCGTTTCGTCACCGTCACTGAGCAAGCTAAGTAGTAGTTGTCATTGTTGTTCAATTTGTCTGAACTAACGTTCCTTCTTCCTCGTCAAACGGGCGAAATTCTGGGGTGTAACTGAAACAAGGAAATAAACAGAGTAAAGCATTAATATTGTACAAGCGGGAGAAGGAAATTTGGGTGGGGGAGGGGCGGGGGGCGGGGATTGCAGCGAAAGGCCCTGATCCTTTTCATGACAAAATCTACTCATTCTACCAACGGTACAAAGAATTGCGAATATGAACATTAGGCTTCAGGGGACCTCGTCTATATTAAAAGATATAATGGAGGATAAGATTACGAAGAGAGTAAAAAGGAAATGTTAGTACTACGCATGAAAATCAGAACCAGAATAAGAAAGGTATTACCTACCCCAAGTAAATTTCTCGGTATGTACCCAGTCTCCTCGCGGTTGTTCCTGGCCCACCACCATTCCTTCTCGGTCTCATCTCCCCGCGTTAGTACCAGTAATTCCTCGCCACATTCAAAGCTCAACTCGTCGTCCTTAACAGCTGTGTAGGTGTAGAGGGCGTAAACTCGACCGTCATTAACGAGTCCGAAGTTTTCCTGAACATCTGAAAGAAACAGTCTTTAGAGTGTAAATGTTGCACTCTGATTGGCTACGCCACTCTTACGTGATGGGTAGAGAGTTGAGTGAACAGCTTAACATTGTGTGTTTGTAAACACGATAAAACAAACATAAGAGCAAATTGGGCGAAAGAAAATTAGAAACGTTGATAGAAATCGTTTAAACGAAAACAATAGAAGGGAAGAGTAACTCTTGAGACTTTTGGAGCTCAAAACTTCAAATACGGATATCCTGTCGATTTACCATTCTGTTTTGGTTTGACCAAAAAACGTTCACGCTTTTAAAACACCATGGCGGGCTCCCTGGCTTTCGCAGTTGTTTGTTACTCGTCACCGGAGACAACTTGCACGCCTATAGTGTTCGCAAATTCGCAGGCGTTTGAATGCTGTGTCTGACACCGGCTTAACTTCCTCAACTCTTCTTCCTGCCCTGCCATTTCGTCCAACACGAAACTAACAAACAAACAGAGAAAACACACAGAGACATATAAAATGACTCACCGTTCAAGTATTTCATACAGCTGAAGTAACCAGGTACACCACGCTCGCAGCATTGCATGGGAGTTTTCTTCTCAAGTGAAGTAGCAGCGAAAATACAAGCGCCATGTTCATTCAAGAAGCGAGCCAGCTCTGTGGCGTTGTTAGCGGCTGCACAGTGAAGTGGAGTCCTATGCGGTGGAAAAAAAAGATAACAAAGAAAACATTTACACAAAATTAAAACATTTATAAAAAAGTAAAAGTAAAAATATTTCACGAACGCGAGTCTAAGAGAGGTTTCAGTCTGGGAGATTGAAGGTCACACTTTCCTGCGCTTCAGTTTGTTTGTCTGTTTGTTTGTTTGTTTGTTTTTTTACTTTGTGCTCTCGTTGGCCATGAGGGTTACGAGGCTTACGTTCCAATCCACATTATCAACAGCGATGTGAGTTTACGATAAGTTAAAATTTAAGTTTAAACTTAATATTTTCATACCATCCATGCGAGTCTGGAGAGTTGATATCCACACCGAATTCCACAAGAAATTGAACCACTTCATCGTGACTTGCGCAAACGGCATTGTGAAGAGCTGTGATACCATCATTGTTCGGTTTATTGGGATCATCCACCTGACAAACACGATAATGATTCCAGTCAGTTGCCTAACCTTTGAACTCCAAATATTCGATTTCAAACTCTCCCTTCTACCTTATATACACTTCTAAGCATATTTTTTGGGAGAATATTGTATTATAAAAAGATTTTACCTCCCAGCTGATAATTTTGTCTATTCTTCTTACCTGTTTACTGAATAAAGTATAAGAATTTTGAGGGGAAGATACAGGTTGACGTTAATCAATTCTAGTTGTTGAAGGCAGCCCTAGGCAACCCGGGCTTAGAGACAAAAAAATTTGGAGTCGCGACGAACGTGTAGCTGGGAGGGGTGGGTGGATAGAGAAGGGAAGGCACCCAGAAATGTGAAAAAAAAAAAGAAAGGAACGAGAGCGAGAGAGAGAAAGAAAGGGAGAAAAGAATGAATCGAACGTGTCATATTTCAGATCAGTACCTCACGAACGACTTGTTTAACTAGATCCAGTTCTCCCTCAACCGCAGCATCCAGCAATACAGCGTGTGGGTCAAGGCTGACGCGTCTCGGCTTCTTCTTTTTAGAAGTCTTCTGCGCAGGCGTAGGAGCTTTCTCAGTAGGACTGCTGGACAAGTTTTCTAAAGAATTACAGGGTACATCTCCATTCGCTTGTGCGACATTAGAAGTGTCATCGATAGTCTGCTTTCCTTGGGGGCGTTCTGATAAGGAGTTATTCAACTGACTAGCCAGTCGAATATCTCCGTTTACAGACAAGGGTGTCGCTGTACTGATATTATTGATATCAACTGGGAAATCTTTTACTGTTACATTTTCTTTTGTTTCCAGGTTTCTTTGACCTTGGTTGGTTCCTGAAAGAGTGTCATTTTTATTATATGAATCTTTTGGCCTCAGTTCAGCGTTGGACCCATGGATCCCATCTTCTGAGGAACAGAACACATTTTTGAACAAACCTGCTTGTTGAATTTGGCTTTTTTGAAAATTACCTCCAGCATTCGGAACATTTGTAGTCGAAAATAAGGGAAGTTCGGAATATGAATCAATTGGTGTGTTTGTGATCGCTCCATCACTACCGCATTTCGGACTAATTCGGATACTTTCGCTATCTTGTCTACCAACTCCGGAGCTAAGTCGACCACTTTCGGGTTTTAAATTATCCCTGTCGTGATAAAATGGCCCGATTTCGGGAGGTGCTCGGTTTCTTTCGGAGTTAATTCGTTCATTTTTGGAACTGAGTCGACCTTTGTCGTCAGTGGGTTCTTTACCGTCGAAGATTTTCCTTCTTGATGAGACAGGTTCCGAAGATTCATTATTTTCTTCCCCTGGATGAGATCTACTCATTTTCTCAGGCGAAGAAATTTCTTCCTGTCCTTCTTTCGCTTTTTTACCCCGACTTGATAGCTGTATATTGAATGACGAAACGACTTGTTTGGAATTGGGACGAGCATTTGTGTTTCCTTGTGCTTTATTATCTGTCTGTGTATTTATGAGTCCGGTTTTCTTATCCAAATTTCCATCGTCTCCGAATTCCTTACGTTCTTTCTCGTTACTCTCGTTAGAAGTGCCACTAAGTAAACTTTCACCTTCGGAAGAAGTCGGAGCCACGCCGTGAAACATAAACCTAGATCGTTTACTAGTCGGAACAGGCGAACGTTGCTCGGGAATGTTCGTATCCCTCTCATTATAACAAGAAGCAGATGGCGTCACCGTTATCTTCGTAAGTGAAGACGACTTGCCACGATTGGATACCGAATTAGAAATCGCTGAACCGAGCTCGGATCGATCGGAAGATATAGCTGACTTCTTCGCGCGGTAAGATATTGGTCGGAACACTAATGGCGGAGTTCTCGCTGCATCGGCCGTCAAGTTATCATTATTTTGTGTTTCATAGAACATTCTTGAGCTATCAGTTTCATTGTTTCTGTTTGAGGTTTGTTCAGATCTTTCCTTTTCCCTTGAGGGTCCAAAATCCAACGAATCTTCTCTCTCAGCACGGCTGTTTGTTTTGATAGGGTTTTGCGATAACCGTTGCAGTGAAGCATGCCTTCAATTTTCCATGTTATTTGTCCTTGTAGCATCTGTTAGGGCTGTTTTCTTGTTTCGTTTTGACGATAAATCCTTCGCGTTTTTTTCTGATTCGCTGTTTTCCATCACATTTTGTGGCAGTAGAGCGCTGTTTACCGAAGTGCCTGTTGAATACCGAAGCCGAGACAACTGCATCTTCCCAGATTTAACCGATGAATCCATAGATTTCAGCTCAGTCCGTTTGAAATCGTTTCCCACATCGCCACCGATTTGCGCACTCGCAGCTGGTGTTGTACTCCTTAAATTGAATTCTTCAAGTTTGGTCGCTAAAGATTCCACTTCGGTTGGATTGGAAAACTGTTCTTCGACTTTACTACCAATCATTTGGTTATTCTGAGCACTTTCTTCTACTGGTTGTTGAGGTTTCATTCTTGATCTTGAAAAATCAAGCACCGTCGGTCGTGCCAGGGTACCAACATTTTCATTCTTTGTTGAAAAGCCTTCTGATTTGACCAGGCGAGCTTGCAATGGAGAATTTCCATCGTTACTTTTTGGTGTTAAAACACCACGAACTGGCTGCTCTGGCTGAGCTCTAGAGTTTTCAAACTTGTTCCCATTAGGAAGTCCTTTAGGTGCGCGTTGCGGCGAAAAAGATTCAGAGAATTGTGACTGTAGTTTCTCTGATTGAGGCGAGAAGTTCCTTGGCTTCTTAACAACGCCTGTAATAGCAAAGACTGCAGCTTTGGAGGTGGACGAATTTGATGACGAAGAGGACGATGACGCTGATGACAAAGGAGAACTATTTCCAGAAAAATCTTCTCCATCACTAGGACTTGAACTCTCCATGCCATTGGACGCTGGCTCAGGTTTTGGTTCTAACAAAGGCGAAACCTCAAGGGCTTCCTCCTGTGAAGTGGATATCTGTTTCTCTTCGTTTTCATGAGATGTTTTTGACTTCAAGGACGAACAGTAAAAGAAATCACTTCCGTTGTCAGAACGATTTTCACCTACTGCATGCAAACAGTCGAAACCAGCCAGTTTAGGAAGCGCTTCAACTCCTTCGGGATCCACACGACGGGCAGGACTAGGAAACCGACTTGCCATCTTAGCAGACGCCACAGCTTCTGCTTCAAAGAGTGATTTCAGCTCTGTCACGCGTGACGCTCTCGGTGGTCCTGGTCCTTGTGTTAGGTCTTCCGTAGACGATTTATTACTTACGTGACCGTCAGAAACTTCCTCTTCTACTTCAAGCAGCGTTTCTAACTTTCTGGCGTTACGACCGCGTCCGCGAAAGGAACCGGAAGTAATAGGAGAACTTCCGTTTCCGCTTTTAGACTCGGCGTTGTTAGTTTTATTCTGTCGTTTCGAGAAGCTCCTTAGACTACTGTAATCCATCTCAACAAAATCTGGTTCGTCTGTGGGTGAAGTGACACCATTCACGATGTGATGGTTCGAAGCAGAGATGTGGTTACCCTGGGATCTTTTTTGCCGTATATTATTGGTGTGCCTGTCAATTTGGGCGTCAAGTTCAAACAGTTCTTTGTGTTTTTCGGCGAGAAGTTGTTTCTGGGATTGGATCTGCACGCTTTGCTGATGATTCAATTCGTTCCGAGTCTAAAAATAAAAGAAGAATTATTAATAAGGTGAATTTCAATTGAGAAATCACAACGGCAAGTCAGAAGAAAGGAAATTATCGCCAGGAAACAATGAGGACAAAGTCAAAACAAGCAAACTTCGCAAAACGCGGAAGAAACGCGGGAAAAACACGAGAAAAACGCGAGTGACCAAGTCGCGATTGGTTTTGGTTTTGGCATCTGCTTGGCGGAGAGCGTGACGCCTTACACTCCGAAAATGAATTCCATCTCAACCGTATTGCGCTAAATTCATTCAAAATAGTATCAGTGTCTTCTGGTACGCATTAATTGTTTTAAAAACAAGTCGTTGCCTCGATCCCGGTTGAGCAGCTGGGAACGAACAAATAGAGATAGACAGGGGACTTAAATTGACCGAGTGATGATATCAGCACTCAACATCACCGTTTTTGGCTTTAAGTACCACACAACATGGTCGACGATTTGAAATTTCTCCACCGTGGGGACCATTCTTGGGAGAACCTTCGTCACAAGTGAACAGAACTCTTTTGTGCGGATAGAAGGAAATATTGGGGAGGAAAAAAGGAGCAATTGCTATTTATCCGTTCTCGCTATCACAGAGCGCACTTGCGTCACAAAAGGTGCACGGCAATTGAGTGACTAATTCTTACCATCAATTCCTTCCTAAGTCGTTCAAGTTCCAGCTCTTGGTGCGTTTTCTGTCGACTTGGAGTTGCCTGAGACCATCCCTTTCTCTGTTTATCCAGTTGCTGAGTGAGGCTTTCAACTCTTGCCACTGCTATTGCTAACTCCTTTTCTTTCTCCATGAAATGGGAACGTACATTCTCCAGTTCCTCGGCTGAAATAAGGACAATTTCATTGTTAGCGTTGCTAAGGACGTCTGTCGAGAGAGTGAGAGTTGCGATGTAGGAAAAATTGTGTTAGGCCAATAGGAATTCATGACAATATTCTTGCAGCGGGTGAAAAGCGCGGGAAAAAAGCACTTGAGAAGTAGGCTCTTTGCATTTAATTAGCCATTTAGGGAATATACCGTTTTGATTGGTTAGGTTGAGAAAATAAAATTAGCCACAGCTACTACTGCATAACAGACTTGAATTAACTAATAATGTTTCACAACAGGTGCTACAGGTGAAAAACGCGGGAAAAGTCACATATTAATTGAGTGGTTCTCTCTTCGCGTTTCAATAGCTGTTAAAAGTTTAAATCATTCTGATTAGCTAAAACATGATGCGTCTAACGCAGCTTGACACACAAAAGAGCGGGAAAATGCCTTGGCTAAATGACTTCTGGGATAGAACGCGTTCTTAGCCCGATTGTTGTAATATTTGTTTCTAACTAGCTCATTTTGGAGGACGGCCAAAAATGTGGTAGAAAGTAACTCTCGACAAATGCAGAACACTCACAACTAACATGTAAGAAGAGTGTATCAGTTTCCAAGGAGAATAAACTTGCAGCCGATAAAAAGTCTAAAATTCCAAACTTACCCAAAGCACCATTGCTCAGTTTATAAGAATCTGTTTGGTCCTGCGCATGGCGCAATTGTCTCAGCCGCTGATCCTGTTCATCGGCTTTAGCCGACAACTGCTGCACAAATGGATTCTGAGGTTTGTTCTGCGATTTCCGCCTCATTTCCATAAACTGAACCTGCTTCGCTTTTAGTTCTTTTTCTTTGGCTGCAATCTCCTGCTGTTGTCTAGCAGCAAATTCTTTCAGTTCACTGACTGATATTCTTCCTCCGCCTAAAAGCTGATACATAAACCAAAAATAAAAAATTATAAAAACAATCCCTGGCGAAACCCACATCTAAATGTCACGCGAAACCCACCTCTAAATGTCACGCGAAACCCACCCTAAATGTCACGCAATAACTCGAGAATATTCTAGAACTTAATTGTCACGCAACAACAAGGGAACTTTTATCAGGTCTTTGGTCTTCACGCAACAACAAGGGAACTTTTATCAGTGTGGGGTTCACCACACAGGATTAACCCTTCATTACCATGATCACATTAGTGAAAGTGGTCTATGGCTAAACTTTGTTTAAAATAACTAGCCATTTTGGTTCCCCTTACCATTAGAATTATTCTAATACTCTTTTTTTTTTTTTTTTCATTTATGATGCTAACCCTTTAAATCCCAAGATCTAATCATAAATTCTCCTTTCTAGCTGCTACACATTTCCTTGTAAATAAGTGATAAGAATTTGGCGCTAGACCAAGAGAACAACTTCGACCTGATAAAAGTTCCAGTATTCTGATTACCTATTTGTTGAATAATGTATGGTCATTATAGGGAAAAGTTACATGTTTATCGCTTCTAAGATTTAGAGGGTTAAACAATATCTTACAACATCTCTTGAAAGTGGTGTTTCCTCCTTAAAACCATTAACCCTTGGACTTGATAATCCTAAGTTAAAAAAAAAAGTAAGACAGAGCCTGTCAATAAAGATACAATCAAAGCTCAATTAGAGTAGAGTAGAGTAGACATCTATATTTATACAGGATAGCCCCTTCAGTGTAGTAAACACTGGTATCAACGGGGGGTCCTGTTACCCACCCATCCCACCCCAGGGGAGGACATCCATCACACAGTAATCTTGTGCGTGGGAAATTAAAGTCTCCTGCCCCTAACCCTGCAGGAGACAGGACCTCCATTTATTCATTCCTATCCGAGAAGACTAGAATATCTAATCATTTCTTGATGTTATGGAAAGGTAGCATATTCTTCTCAATTATTTTAAGACCCTGAGTGTTGATCCAGCCGGAGCTCGAACCCGTGACCTCCCGCACAACAGTCCAGCGCTCTATCCATTGAGCTAACCGGGAGGCGGTTAACTCAATGGATAGAGCGCTATTTTATTATTTTATTACTTGAACTATTTTATCTTGTTAGGACAAGATAAAATAGTTCAAATAATAGAGGGTTTGAATAATTGAGAATAAGAATATTACTGATGAACAAAAACTGATTACATTAAGATTAAGCAACATTTAATTGACTGTTAAACACAACATTTACAAATCGTTTTGGAAAAAAATATGACCTACAAGTAACAAACAACTCTAAGCCAATCAGACGTCATTTGAATGCTCTTTTATTATTAGTTATGATGCGTGTGAGCACTGCTTTTGCTTTTTGAAAGTGAAATAAACTCGCTTCTACTTCACTTTTCAGCACTGTAGTTTTAAAAAGAATATGGCTGCAGATCTTGATCATAACTAGATAAATAAATATTTATGATAAAATTGGGACCAGAGAAAAAAAGTATGAAAAATTGAGAAATCTGGAGGTCCAGATAATCAAGGTCTGACTGTACTTTGAATGGCAAAACAGATCTGGAAGTATCTAAGAAGCTGAATTTACACCACATCAATTAGTTCTTACTTAAGATCTATTGGAGGGCAGATGCACTTTGGATGATGTACATCACCATTTAGATAATTATCATATAAAATATATGGATTCTATATTGCTGTGGGTCTGTGCAGTCACTGCCAGCAACAGATCGCAGGAGACGTCAAAAAATTATAAGAACATCAATGACACATTCTGTTGCACTTCATGTGTCACTTCTCTAAAACACTTCTTAACAGACATAATTTATACAGTAAACACCTGCATATAAGAACACATGATTTTGGAGGTCAGGCTGATCAGGTTCTTATTATCGAGTGCTTAGTGAAAAATCAGCCTGAAGGTGTTCTTAAATTGTTCTTAAATTGTTCTTAAATTTTGTTGTTGGAATTCAGAACTGTAACAATGCAAAAAAATGCTTGAGATTAAATTAGCATATTTAAATTACAGAAAAAAAAAACACTGAGTCAAATTACAACTGGAAGCTGAGCACGGTACAGAAGTGTTGAGTTTAAGCCTAAATTATGAAGGGGACAAAAATACAAGAGCAAGCAACCAACAAGTCATTGTTTTACTTGAATTTGATTGGTAAACATGCATGGACTAAATGCTGATATGGAGCAATTATGACTGTACACAAGACACCATGTATTCTAATTTGCATGCTTAAGGTTTTTATCCTTTTATTTTTGAATGTCTTTTGCTTCACTGCTTTGTACTCTTGAAAAGAAACAATGGTCGTTAGCACATGAATGCAACTTATTTCCAGCATAATAGTGTATCATTAGCTACAGGACATGCAGGTGCAAGGACTTGATGCTTATATCAAATTATATTATTTTGACAACATCGAGGTGTATTAAGAATAGCACAGTACTGTATGTCTCCCTACAAGTAACTAGATAATTTGAAGGGAAAAAAGCTCAAAACAAATGCAAAACAGCATCACAGCTGAGGAGCTGTAGTTATCTGGCAGCAGGCCTTCTGTAGGATCTGAAATTTTTTTAATGTCTTATCCATTTTATAAGAACATTTTATATTTCCAGGCTGATTTTGTTCTTATAAAAATGGTGCTTTATTTGCAAAATTTCAGCCTGATGTTCTTAATCCATGTGTTCTTATATGCGGGTGTGTACTGTATCTGACAGTTACTAGGTAAAAAATTAGGTTTGAAAGATTTTTTTCAAATTGTTAAGATAGTCTGGATCACATTTCTACACAAGTACATTAAAACTGCAGGGTGAATTTACTTCAATAGCAAAATTTTTCTCATCAGATATTGCTTCTGAAATTTTGTTTTCTTTTTTTTTTAAAAATTTCCAAAGAATGAGTTAGAAGGCATCCAGAAACAAAAAATTGCATGGAATGCCCTTGAGAATGAAAAAAAGAAAATAAAAACCAAAACAAAAAAACAAAAGCACTCAAAGCAAGTCATGGAATAAGGTTTAAAATAATATATACAGCATCAATCTTTATTCACACAATGACAAAAAAAGGTAAAAAATTTGTAACTGATCCAAAGTGCATGAAGACATTCCTTTCTCAAAGCTCTAACTGAATGATACCCAAGGCAATAATTAAAATTACTTAATATCCTACCATTAACAGCTTGTGAGTAAGATGGTATCTCCTCTCTTGGTTTTAGATAAAACTTCACATCATCCAGATCGCTTCCCCACTCAAGTAAAGTGCTAAAGATCGACTCACTATCAGGTACAAGACGTTCTTAGGAAGAAACAAAAACTATAGCTAAGATCCAGAACATAAAAGTTATAATTCAGGCTTTCATGGCCTTTAAACAATGGCATAAAAACAGATGGGTTAAAAAATTCTTCTTTATCAGAAATTTTACCTGTAACCTGTTCCTAATTTGAAAAATTCAATATTAGTAGAGGAGATGCTGTATTTGGTTTAATAAAAGGCAATGTGCTAAAATATTACAACATTTCTTTAATTACAAATGAGTGCCTTTTCTTTTGTTTATCCAGTGTGGCCCTAGCCAATTTCAAGCACATTCCTGTTTGACATTTTGAGTCTAATCCATGCCTGTATCTTAATTTAATCATTTTAGGTTTGCCAACAAATTAAAATATTAAAAATATTGAGTGTTTTCAACTTCCACAGGTCAAATTTCATGGAGTGATAGCAGTTAGAGAACCAAAGATACAATTTTTATGAAAACAATCTAGACAATAGACAAGTACAAAAATAGAAAATTATTCATAAATGTACAAATCTAACTGGTATGCATGAAGAAGTATACACACTGGCAGAGGGCCACTTGCATTTCCTAGCAAAAGCAGATGATATTGCTGCAAATGATGCATGAAAGAGATTAATGCACTAAAAGTGGTGCTATTTTAGTTCTCTATGAAAAAAATTTCTAACAATTGTTACCAGCTTAAAGAAGAGTTGATTTTAAGTTCGTAAAGATGTGTATCAACAATGTCAAACCTACCACATCCTTGCCATACTTCTATCAGATAGCAATCAGTCTCCTGGATCTGCCGTTGCAACCTTTGCACTATATCTTTGCATTTCGTCACTTGTGTAACAAATATTTCTGCCACTTGCTGCCCTTCATCCAGGTAAACTTTGAGTCTCAGCTAAACAGCAAAAATCAGCTTGATAAATATTAGGCATGCAAAGAATGCAAATATCTAAATTGTGTCAAGAAAAGGCTAATCACAAGAACAAATTTTCAAGTGCTGTGGTGAATGTTATAGTATGTACAATTACAGGTAAAAGTGTTTGTTCTGACTAACCATATATTTCAAGAACCGCTTTAATTTCAAAGGATAGTTAATTTTGCTATTGTCAAGCTTAAGAATTGCTTAACATAACAAATTAAGGGCAGAGAAATGCCTGCTGTGTGGGAAGATGCCAAAAAAACAACAGAAAGGTTACAACAAATTAGCATAACTGTCAGGAATTGTAGAGGAATACATTTAATCTAATTACAGAGCGTAAATGTCGGCAATCCATACTAGGCAAACAACATCGACAACAGACATTTTTCTTCAGATATAATTATACCAACCTCACACAACTGGCATCAAAATGCTACAATGGATGTCATAAAAAATTTACATTTCAAAAGACATGAACCTGCTACTTCAAATTAACACCTGTGTTACATTCTTTCAAAATGAGAAGAAAGGACCTAACAAAACAATAAAAAATTGACCCAAAGTGTAAATTATGCTACAGGTAGACTCAAGGGAATTTCTTGAAAGATGAGACATGCAAAATCATCTTTAACAACATTTGATAAAAATTACCTTCATGGGCACATTACTGACACTTTTACTGCTGCCAACACTTTCATAATTGCTTTTACGATTAGCCTTAACACACAACATAGCTTCTGAGTTGTTTAGTGACAAATACTCCAACAAGTAACTTGTTGTTAATGCTTGCAAACATATTCAGATATTGGCTTTGACTGCGGCACGAAGAATTGTTGCTAAATAGAGAGAAACTGTATGTACATAAATATTTTTTTTTAGGATATTAGTCACTGCATCTGATCAGCTGTAATCAAAACTGCGATATAGGTTACATACGTGATGTTGATCGATTTCAAAGGTAGATAGATTAAATTAATTATAACTTGCCTCCAGATCGTAACCTATAATTCCATGTGAAAAGATTACACTTAGGCAAAAGAATTACTCATTTAAATCAAGTCTCTAGATAGGCGCATGAAATCAAAGTCGTCTTTGCGACGCGGGAATTAACGGATAGATGCGAAAACTATCGTAATATTTGAATAGAAGTTCATTTCGCAACAACTCTTTAGAATACTCCATCAATCCTCTTGGGAAATCAAACATTTACATTTTCCGTGGATCATCTTTTTTTTTCTTTATCGTAAAATTTGAGTGCCGCGCTTTCACCGAATAGCGCCATTTCATTTAGACTAAAATTCATTCAGGCATATCAAAAACAAAGGACATAAAAATATGGTCCAATATTCTTCCGTAGTCAAATTTCCGGTGGCGGTTTTCTATTTTAAAACTGTACAGCCTAAAATCCTCTGTCATTGAAAAGAGCCCTTAATTAATGTGATAATAACGTGGACAGAAGTTACAAACGAGCTTTCGACTGCAACAAAACAAGCGACAAACACTGCTCTTGAAATTTTACTCACCCTTCTTTCCGCTCCGGCCATATTGTTTACAATCCACAGTGCATCGCGACCACAAGTCAGAGTAAAACCGTTAGGGGTAGGGATGGGATTCATTGTTTGAAGACCTTTTTGCACCGGATATTTTTTCATCCCTTGTGTTACTTAAACCTTGTAATTTTATCCCAGACACATAAAAAATTCAATTTTTAAAGTAATTCTATGAAAATTATTCCCTAAAATTCTATTTTTTTAATCAGACAGACTTTATTTCATTTCTCCCACCCCTCCCTAGGTAAGGCTTAAGCTCGTGACCATTTCGCGGGAACCTTTCAAAATGGCCGCGAAACATGTTGACGCGACGTAGAAAAACAGGCGAAAGAAAACATCAAAGCGGCGTCTTTGTCGGCTAACTATAACACCAGATGGCTTTAGATCGTGTTGTAGCTTTGGTAGATATGGACTGCTTCTATGTTCAAGTCGAACAAAGACGAAATCCGGATTTGCGAGGGAAACCTTGCGCTGTAGTTCAGTACAAAACATGGAAAGGTGGAGGGTAAGTGAAGTACTTTTCCTTGATCAAAGATTCTTTTTAATCAAGTATCCCTTACTGAGTATTAAATCGTGAAATCTTGGAGCCTTTTTATCAATACAGTGATAGATCTTGGCGGTGTTGCGGTTAATTTGTCAATATAAGAAACTCGCCCCGAGCTTGAATAGATTAGAGAAGTTTCTTGATCAAATTACATAACATGATATGATAGCTTTGACATTTTTTCCAGTAGCTTTGACAATATAACAGTATCAATACGCAATATGGTACTGATCGGGGGTATCTCGCCACCGTTTGTTGTGTTTTTTTTTTTTTTTTTTTGCGTGTGTGTGTGTATTGTGGTTGTTGTTGTATGAGCCCTTTGTATTATAACGTAGACGGCGCTCTTTTTAACCGGTTTCGAAGGAGTCTGTGTTCTCTTCGTCGACACTCGAATGGTGTTGTATTGATCCAGTTTAGCTAAACAATGTGGAGATTGTTGGACAGTATGGCTGCTTGGCCAACTCACTCCAATACAACATATCCTTCGATGAGCTTAATGATCAGCTTTTATGTAGTGTAGTTTTGGCACTAACAACTGAGCTGCACTTCACAAGTTGTCACATTTCTTTTTCGTAAAATAACTAAGATAGTACGAATGACCTGATTGGTCAAGATCATATTGTTCAAGAGCAATAGATGGGACTTTATTGCATTACCTTCATAACATTGGGAAACTTAACCACGAGAAAAATTTGTAAATCATCTCGCTCTTGATTTTGCCTAAGTAATGCACATAGCTTATAGAGACTCTTTAAATTAGGAGCCCATCATGATTATATAGTTTTGTTATTTTTTACAAAATTGTTGACAAATATCATTCAATTATGTGTATGATTAATGCAGTCAACTCTCCACTAACACACACTCAGAAGCAGACATTTCTTCCTACTTACGGACACTTTTTTCTCTAATTCCACTTTTGCCTCCTAGTCTAACTCTGTATTTACACATTCTCGTAGGCACACATTCTCTTGTAAGTGGATACAGCTACTTTGGAAATGTAGAATTGGATTTTTTCTTTTGTTTTTGGTTTCTCGTGAGCGGACATACCATGGATATATAATAATTGACTCTTGGCAATGAAATGTCTTGAATTTGCAAATTGGCAAAAATATGGCCATTGACAGAGCAAAATAACAGTGAGGATTAGTTTTGACAAATCCATTTGTCTGCAGGAAAGCAAGTTTGACATTAAAAGAGTCTAACATAACCCTCTCTTGTAAGTGAATTTCCACCCTATTTTTCTTTGGTGTCAGCTAATCGGAATAATTCTTGTAGGTGGATAGTTCTGCTAACAGATACTTAATCCAATTCTGGAGGGTGCCTGCTTACAAAAGGGTTCATTGTACGAAATTTACTCTAATACTATCAGATGTTTTGTCCTTTTTCTTCTAGATCGTAGCTTTTGGGTGTTTTGTGTCACTAAGTTAGTGTGGGTTTTTTTCCAGACTGTAACATATTAACATAATTGATAGAGTTTCTTCTCATCTATCTACCAAATCTAACTATGTCAAGGAGTGAGCATCCAAGGGTGCATGAACCCAGCCCCTGTAGTGTATGCAGTCGAACCTCGATCATCTGGACTCGTTGGGACTAGATGAAAATAGTCTAGATAATCAAGGATATAAATATGAGGAAAAAAAACTGATTAAATTAAGAAAGTGAAATTTAATCGTGAAACAAAAACATATACAATTAGTTTTGGATAAAAATGTGGTCCACATCCTCACTGTACATTGTGAATAGCCAGTAGAGTGTGAAATCTCACTTAAACGCCGCCTGGTTAGCTCAATTGGGTGAGTGCCAGACTGCTGTGCGGGAGGTCGAGAGTTCAATACCGGCCGGACCAACACTCAGGGTCTTAAAATTAAATGAGAAGAATATGCTTCCTTTCTTTAACATCAAGAAATCATTAGATATTCTAGTCTTCTTGGATAGGGACGAATAAATGGAGGTCCCGTCTCCTGCAGGGTTGGGGTAGGAGACGTTAATTTCCCACGCACGAGATTACTGTGTGATGGATGTCCTCCCTGGGGTGGGTTGAGTGGGTAGGTGAAATTGCTACAGACTAAACATGGCTGCCAGAGGTGCCTGTCTGATTTCAACCTTAAAATTGTAACTAAACACGTATGTTGTTTAGAGAAATAGAGACCTTTACCTTTAACAAAAAGCAACTCTAAGCCAATCAGGCCTGACTGGCTTCGAATGAGAAAAGAAAGAAAGAATGTTCATCATCAGTTACGGCTTTTGCTTTTTGAAAGCAAAAAAAAAACTCACCTTTACCTTAGTTTTTAACACTGGCTTTGGACTTGATCATGATTAATAAATAAAATGTTCAGATAATTGAGAAATCTGGATGATTGAGAAATGTGGATGATCGATAAATCCAGATAATCAAGAAATCTGGATAATCGAGGTCCAGAAAATCAGGGTTCAACTGTATCACATTATACTGGATAGAGCAGGAACAGCATAATGAAAAACCTTCTTGAGGATCTTGCAATGTGCAGTATCAAAGTCATCAGTGTACAACAAGCATAAAGCATGACAGAAATTGATCTGGGTTCAGTTGTTCGAAGGCCGATTAGCACTAATCCAGGGTTAAATTTTGATTCAGGTTTCCTTATTTCTCTATTCAAGAACCTTTATGAGATAATTTCCCCTGTTCTTTTTAGAGCATCCGATCATCAAATTGTAGACACAAAATAATTAAACTGAACTTTCTCCTAAAGCATTTAGATCTGAAATCAAATTTCACGCTAACCCCTGAGTTAACTTAACCCAGCTTTGAACAACCCGGCCCTGTTCTTTTACAATATTGTTCATATGATAAGCTGAATATTATACACATTATTATCAGTTCTCGTTTTTTATCGATCTACTGGAGGACTGATGTATATAGTAAATGACATTGCCATTAACAACATTTTGCATATTCATTATATCAAACAATTAGATTCCATGATTTCATAGGTCTGTACAGCAATAGATCACGGAAGGCAGCAAAATGTAGTAAGAACATTAGTAACACAATCAGCTGCACCTTGTGTAGCACTTTTTGGTTGCTATAACATTTTGATTTCATCTGGGATCTGTTACTGAACAGAAGCACAGTGACATTGCATCTATTTGTTGAATAGCTCTGATATTTACCAATCTCACAGATGTATGTCAGTTGATCTTACCCATGGGTGGGTACAGAATACAGAACTTTATTTTATGTGGCACTCCACTTAGCTAAAAGCTACTTTACAGGAAGCCCACAAATAAACATACAAAATTGCAAAACAAAGAAAGATAAAATTTAGCTAACACTCTAAAAATTTTAAAAATCTGTGTCAGCTAGGTGATGCGTTGGTAGTGTGTCGGTGGTGTGTCAGTAGTATGTTGGCCAACATGTCAGCAGATGCGTTGGTGGGATCAGATTCTCTACCTTTACCATGTATTTCTGTATTAGTATTATAGCTGTGAGCTACGAGGCGCGTCATTTTGGAGTGACAAGAAACATGCGTGGAGATGAGGCCAAAGAGAAGTGTCCAGAGATAAATTTGGTGCGAGTCCAAGAGGCACGTGGGAAAGCCGACTTGACACATTATCGGGAGGCAGGGGCAGAGGTGATTGCAGTGCTTTCTCGCTTCTGTGACAGCTGTGAGAGGGCAAGCGTGGATGAAGCATATCTAGACTTGACAGAACGTGTTAAAATGTAGGTTTTTTGTGTGAATGTGAAAGGCTGTCCTAGCAGCTTATTCATTGAAACCTCTCAAATTGCAATATCCAGTGCTCCACTTTGGGATAATTGCATGACTGTACATATCCATTTTACAGGAGAATGCTCACCATGGGCCTTGACGAGATTGCTAAAAAGTCTGCAGAATCAACATTTCTTGAAGGTTTCACAGCAGATGACAAGGAAGATAAAGATGTGGATACTGATGCTTGGAGAGCTTCTCTTGAAAGCGATGAGAATGTTAGGAGGCTCGCAGTTGGTGCAATTATTGTATCAGAAATGAGGGAAGCTGTGCTGCGGGAGACACAATTTACATGCTCCGCAGGGATTGCTCATAATAAAGTGAGAGGCTCTGTTATCAAATATATTTTTCCTTTATCTCTGCCTTTGTTTGATAACTAGAATTGTGTATTAAAGAAAAAAACAAACTAACTAACTGACAACCAAAGAAATTCAATTTAATTTCTGAATTGAGTCATATTCTGCAGGGTCTCAACTCAGAGACAGATTTCTTATTTGTTTCTGAATTCGGCATTCCAAGCAAAAGTAAATGCCACCTACCACACATTTAACTCATTAACTTCCATCAGTGACCAAGACAGAATTTCTTCCTACAATTTCATCACAGTTATAAGAAGATTAAAGGATTATTAGTTGATCCAATGCCAGATTCTCTGAACTAACATTTTAAGGATTGTATGCCGTGCAGACGGTAATGAGAATTTCTAATAAGATCAGGGTAAAAAAAGGGTGAAGGGTGTTCCTAAGGCATAAGTGATCAGAGAATTGTCTAGCTTCTACAAAGAATATTAATAAAATTCGGGCCATTTGTTGATGGCCTGAAACAATCAAGAGCTTGTTAAGGTGTTGATCATTTCCATCATTCTAATGACCTTGAGGTTGATCTAGGAGGGAAGCTTAGCCTTATCGCTCAGAGGGATTGGTTTGCTTCTTTTGTTGATTTGTGGCTTGTTATTTATTGTCATCTTCTATCAACAATGAATATGATTTTGTCGTTATCAGGTGCTGGCAAAGTTATGTGAAGGACGTCACAAACCAAACAAACAGACTCTTCTGCCCCAGAGGGCAGTGCCAAAACTGTATGAGAAAATTCCCATTAAGAAAGTGTAAGCTATTTTATTCTTTGAAAACTTGGGCACAGCTCTTAAAGGTCAATGCCATTTAGAGAAAAGAGGCGTTGTTCTTGGTGGGCAGCAGTGCTTTTAGATGTGAATGTACCCAATTTTTTATATTTTTATATCTTCTTAGTAGTGAAAATTTTTATTTTTTAGCTTTTAGTATCTATGTTGAGTTGAATCTTTAGCATTTAATTGTAATGAGCAATTGAAAATTCTTATATTGATGATTGTGCAATATAAGCATAAATTATTATTTTATTGTTATTATTATTATTATTATTATTATTATTATTATTATTATTACCTGGTACCCCTCTACTCTTGGACCTAAAAAGCCTGCGAGGTGGGCATTTAAGGATAAGGGGGGAGGGGAGGGACAGCAACTGTGTCTGCAAATTAAGTATGTTGTATTATATTCTTTTGTTTTTATCCATGATAGCAATTTATAGACTTATTATGGTGCATTTTCAGCCGCAACATGGGAGGAAAACTTGGCATGGAAGTGTGCTCAAATTTACATGCAGAAAAGATGAGTGATTTGGCCAAATACTCCCTTGGTGAGTTACAAGGTCGTTTTGGAGACAAGACTGGGTAAATATTTTTGCCTTATTCATGAAGTAAATTGGAATCAAATAAGCTCCAACTCATCGTGTTGGAGGTTGATTGCCACCAGTGAGCTTCATGTCTCTTTTGTTATGCATTTGTTTATTTTTTTTTTAATTGAAGGAAGCTTCCTTTTTCGGTTGCTAGGGAGTGGCTGCATGAAATAAGTCATGGAATAGACCACGAACCCGTTAGACCTCGCCAGCTATCAAAGTCTATAGGCTGCGGCAAGAACTTCCCTGGAAAAGGGAAGCTTGCAACAGGAGAGCAGGTAGATTATAAATTTTAAGAAAACGTGTTTTCAAAACCAGTGATTCGTTATAAGTGATAAATTTACAAATTTCAACCAAGGAAACTTTCTGAGTGGCAAGCACGGTCCAAGATAGTGATCATGTGAGGTCCGTGACCCATGAGCACCCGTGAGTGTATTTACCCATAAGCCCTTGCGGTAAAAAGAAGAAGACGAGAGAATAAAGAAAGCACATGGTTCAATAGTTGCAAAGTTTATTCGGCGACCGAGTAACAATCGGCTGAGAATTGACCGTTGGTGACCAGGCTTCAACCGCGAGATGTGCTTGAGGTTTCATCTGAATTTTCTTTTGTTGTCAGGTTAAATACTGGTTAGATCAGCTGGCTGGTGAAATCCATGAACGTCTCACGAAAGAATCAGAACTGGTACGTGCGTTATAACTCTCTGTAAATTTCCTTGCATCCTTTGCAAAGCAACAACGTGAAATGATCAAACTTTGCGTTGTTTGGAGGGCGTGAACAACGACGGCTATTTTTTTAAATTTCTACTTCATATGCAACGCTGGGTTTCTTAATCACTTTCGAGATAGTTTTGACGGTGAGCAACAAACAAACTAAATGACGTAAGAGCATCGCTAGATTCGTGGGTAAAATATAAGTATGAAATATGAGTTCGACGTCGCTGTCGCGGCTTTTCTTAAACTCCCTCATATTATTATTTATTACACGACTCGGGCCGTCAGAGGGCCAATAACTAAGATCAACCAATCAAAATGCTCTATTGCCGGTCAATATTCTCTCAGTATTGGACCGGGCACTGTCCCGAATGGTCCCGAATGATACCGCACTTGTGTCCCTTTGAACTTCAGTCGTATAATAAATCTCTTATTAACCAAGCTTGCTCGGGACCGTACTGGAAGAATATCGGCCCTCGGTCTTTTTTGTACGGACCTCGCTGCGCTCGGTCCGTACTGTCAAGACCTCGGGCCGATATTCTCCCAGTACGGCCCTCGCGCTTGGTTATTTAGTATTTTTTTCAAGGGGAATCAAGTAAATCTTTTATTGTGACACGGCTAAAATCCCTTGACGATATGGAGCAAAATGAATTTAGCAATCCCCTTTTACTTCCGACACTCTTTTGGAAATTATTAAAAATACTTTTGGGCAGAGGAGTCGACAACTTGAAATTGATAGTTAATTTGTCTTTAATTTGTGTAAGGATTTAATTTTATTCATCATTTTACCAACAGAACAATCGGGAGGCAAGGGTGTTGGGTGTTGGCTTCAAAACTGAGATTAACTCATCTTTTACTCGTTCTTGCCACCTGAAAAATTCAACAGCCGAACAAATTGCAAAGGATCTTTATAATTTACTGTTGCCATTCAACTCCATAAAGGATAATAAAACGGATACATGGTAAGGAAAAACTTCCGGGTGTGGTATATTTTTTTGTTAACCTTTACTTACATGTTGGAATTTAATGAAGATAGTCCCTTTGCAAAAAATACCAGAGATATTTGTTTTATAGCGGACGTCTATATATTTTTAAATTTCGGGGTTTAGTATCGCTGAGTATTTTAAAGAGTTGAGCCGTTTTTGGATGTAATTACGAGTAAAAATAATCAGCGATACTACGCACAAAAAAAATTAAATGAATCATCAAAACGGCAAACTGATTCGAACAAAGGAAAATATCTTTAAAACCTAATGAGAACTTAAAGTAAAAACAACTACATTGGCTAAATTGTGGGAAAACACGGGTGGCTAAGTCGTGACTGGATCAATTTTGCATCTGATTGGTTGACGTAGTGGAGGGAGTTTTCTAAACCAATCACAGAACTAAGTGAAGCAAAACCAGTGCAATCTCGGGTTACTTTCGACATTCGATTGAAAGTTGCTCTAAACGAGTAATCAAAATTGACTTCTCCCCAAAACGTTTTGGCTTGATGGAAGTATCTTAAACTCCTTAGGTATCCAGCCATTGTCTGCCTGAACGTCTCAGCCAGCAAATTTGAAGAAATAACTAATCATAATTGCACGCCGTCCATAAGCTCCTTTTTCACCAAGAAAAACAAGTTGGAAAAAGTGGAAAATTTGTCGGACAACTTCGTGTCAGAAAACGTGGAAGATGGGTGTTCATCTAGTTTTAATTTAGAAGGAAATAAAGGAATTGGTAGAACTTCTGTTTCTGGCAGTGTGGTTAACCAGAATCTGCACGAAGAAAACTCATGTGACGGAGTTCAGAGATACGACAATAAAGAATGCAGAGATAATGAGAAAAAAGTACTTGAATCGAAGCATAGTGTTGGAACTCTATCGAAAAAGAAAGGCATAGAAGCGTTTTTATCGGGAATGGTTATATCTGAAGAAAAGCGGCAACATAATGAGGGACGACCTTGCAATCCCTACCAGGGCTGCAAAATCGATTCCTCGGTATTAGAAAGTTTACCACAAGAAATTCGGCAAGAGATTGAACAATCGCTGGGGAGACCCAATCAGGAAGGTGAAAAGAAGAGAAGAAAGCCTTCACTTTTTGGTTCAAGGGTGTCCCCGGATGAAGCACAAGGAAGAGAGACATCGACGAGTGTTGCGATAGGTGGTGGGTCGGCCATTGGTAAAACTCGCGTGAATCTTTGTAACCAAGTAGACTGGGACGAGACAGATTTGCGCAAATGCGAGAAATGCGGGGAAACGTTTCCCGGCTGCGTCATGCCGGAACATTTAGACTATCACTTCGCGCTGGAATTGCAAGAAGGAGAAAACAAGTCTACCGTGACATCGAAATCGGGGAGCTCAACAAACGAGCCTCCGAAGAAAAAGCAACGCACCACAATTCAGTCTTTTTTTACGTCTAAGTGAGCGCTCTCTCTCTCCATAGATTTGTGTCACTGTTTGTCTAGTGTACTTCGTAGGCATGGTTTAGTCTTGTCACACAATGAGCGTTGCGTGACGATACTAAGCATTTTCTGCGAAGGGGACTGCTAAAAGATTGACCCTAATAAGCTTAAATGTTTGAGGCTTATCTTGTGCTATCTGTTTTAATGTTCACTATGGTTGACCCTCTTTGTTTTATATTTCCTACCTCTGTGGTGTTTTTCTATAGTAGCTGACCAGTATTTCTAGTTTTGTTTGTTTTCTTTTGTTTAATTGGATTATTTATTGACGATTAAACTAGAACCCAAGTTATCACGAAGTAACTCTGCAGTGAACGAAAGGAAAGATCTGATGTTTGTTTTTTCACTCATGCCCGAGAATTGTTTTTTTCGTGGTAATTACGCCAATCACTTTGCAATGCAACCTTTATCTTTCTCACGATGTCTCCTCACCCTCACCCCCTCCTGCTCCCCCTC